CACGCGCCCCTCCCTGCCCCCGGCTTCCCCGGCGGCGCGCTGGGGAGGAAGAGGAGAAGGGTGTAGGTAGGGAAGGCTAAGGCGAAGAAGGGAAAGCTGAAGGGCTGCGAAGCGAGAGGTAAGGTGTGAGGAGGAACGCCGCCGCCGCCGTCGCCGCCAGGGTTTCAGCCGCCCTGTTGCTGCTGCTGTTGCTGCCGCCGCCGGCCGGGCAGCGCCTCACGGGGCGGGCTGCGCTCCGCTGTCGCTGCGATGCTCGCTGCTGCCGGCGGTCGCCCTCTGCAGCTGCGCTCCATGTCCCTCGGCTCGGCTGCAGCCCCAGCAGCAGCAGCAGCGGCGGCGGCGGCGGCGGCTGCTGCAGGGGTCGAGGCGGCAGCAGCACATCGCGCGCCGCACAGCCTGCAAGCTCCTTCCTGCCGGCCCCCGCTCGCCGGCTTTCCTGGCCGGCCGCACCCGCCCCGGGCTTCCGGCCGCGCCCCTCGCCCCGCCCCTGACCGGCGCCTGACGCGCACGGGCACCTGTCGCCGCGCTCGCGCGGGATTCGCCGGCTCGCGGGTCTCCTCAGCGGCGCCCAGGTGGCGCAGGCAGCCTTAACCCCTGCGCTGCCTCACGCCTGAGGGCAGCTGCGCGCGCCTCCTGTGGAGGCGGGAGGTGCAAATCTAACGGTCCCACCAGCTCCTGAGGCGCGGCCACGCCCCCCGCCGCTCTCCCATCTCGGGGCGTGGCTCCGCCTTCAGCCTTGTTCTCACCTCGGACTGTGGCTCCGCCCCCCACGCTGTCACCTCGGGCTGTAGCCCCGCCCCACCCTCGTTGTTACCTCGGAGTACTGCCCGGCCCCCGGCCTCACTGACACTGCTGGATTGGGCGCGGGGCTCAGCCATGTCGTCACCTCTTGGGTGATCTTTGGGCCTACGGGGCTGGGGGCATTCCTCCAACTCTGGTAGCTTGCAGTTGCGAAATTTAGGTCCGCGTCCCTAGGACTGCTAAGCAGGCGGGAGAGGGAGCCCTAGAGACAGTAGGAGGAGGGATGACTTGGGAAACTCGGCATCTTAATGATGATGACTCAGGGATATGAGGGACTAGATGCTTCAGATATCTACAGCCCGGAGAGAAAGGGGTTATGTGGAGAAATGACGGGAAAAAAAGCTCATGGGTGAGAATAGGAAGCGAACGATCTCCCTAATAATCCTCCCCCCCACCAAAAAACAAAAAAAAAAAACCCAAACCATTGCCATCAAGTTCATTCGGACTCATAGCGACCCTATGGGACCGAGTAAAACTGCCCATAGGTTTTCCAAGGAGCAGCTGGTAGATTTAAACGGCTGACCTTTTGGTTAACAGCCGAGCTCTTAACCACTGCACCACCAGGGCTCCTTAATAGTAGCTACCATTTATTAAGCACTTAGTGTGTGCTATGTCCCGTGTTAAGTGCTTTATATACGGTGAAACCTGTGAGAGCCGGAACTCCAAGGGACTGCCTTGTTTTTCCAGGTCTCGCAAGTTTTCCACCTTTGACAGGGTGCAGTCTTCTCACTTTTCTATCCCTCGTTTTTGTGGAAAATATTTGAGTTTTCCTTCTCTGACAGGTTTCTACTTTACGCAGGTTTCGCTTTCCGGGGTTTTACTTATACAGCTCAGCTGCTAACCAAAAGGTCAGCAGTTCAAATCTACCAGCCGCTCCTTGGAAACCCTATGGGACGTTGTACTCTGTCCTATAGGGTCCCTATGAGTCCGAATTGACTCGACTGCAACAGGTTTGGTTTTTGGTTTAGAACATTATAAGTAATCACTGTCACTCTTCCCATTTTAGAGGAGGAAATTGAGGTGTTGAGGCATGGAGTCATTACAACTGGTAGAATCAGGATTCAGATCCAGGCAAAATGACTTCAGCGTTCAGGTAAATCATTATTCTTCCCTCACATGTGAAAAGGCTAAAGGAAAATAAATGGTAATTTGTCTGTGACCAAGATGGACTGGGTCCATGTTGAAAGTGGCATCAGGACAGCTTCTTGCAATGATCAAACATAGATTGAAGAGCCTTCTGGGTGTATGCCAGTCAGTTCTTGCTTTGACTGATTGATGTTGCTTTTTGTCTCCTATTTTCCCTCTTGGATGACAACCCATTTTTGAGTTAGATCATACCTTGATTCTTTTCATCCCAGTGAAATTTCAGGACACTAAGAGGCTGAAATGGGTCAAAGAGTTTCACATGACTTCTGTTGTTGCTGTTAGCTGCCATTGAGTTGACTCCAACTCATGGCGACCCTCTGCTTAACAGAATGAAACCCTGCCCACCATCTTCATGATCACTGGCATGTTTGAGACCAGTTGGACAATATTCTGTTGTGATCCATAGGTTTTTTTTTTTGGCTAATTTTTGGAAGTAGATCACCAGGCCTGTCTTCTTAGTCTGTCTTAGTCTGGAAGCTCTGCTGAAATCTGTCCATTATAGGTGACCATGCTAGTATTTAAAGTACCAGAGGCATAGCTTCCAGTATCATAGCAACAAGCAAGCCACCACAGTATGACAAACTCATGTGGCTTTTATTCCTTATTAACTTCAGAGCCTAAACAATATTCAGGTATTCACATTGCTTTCTACCCTCAGACTGAAGGTAAGAATCCAAAAGGCCCTGATGCTTAGGGAATGGCTTTGTCCACTCTTGATTGGAAAGGAGACAGATAATAGAGGGATTCCCACATCTAAGTTACTAAATCCCTGCAGTTGACCATGGCACCATGACAGCAATGGACTGTTCTAACACTTTTTATTATGCCTCCCTTGAGCAGAAATTGTGGGCCCATTGTGAAATCCAGTTACAACTCTCCTTTGTCTTTTTTGAATCACAAAAGGACAAGTTTCTCCCTAATCTATAGAGACCCACATACCAAGAAGGAACAGAATTCCTAATCAAAAGAAGTTTCAGCCACTTCTTTTTCCTTGAAGGAGACACACAGCCTATCCCTATCATTCAAGAAAGGACTTTTGCTTGCCTTTCTTGAACTCATCTGTTACTATGAGGATAACCTATTACCTAACTCTAGCTCTGAGGATCCTCCTTAACTCTGTTTCACTGCTTAACCTTATTAGGAAATGATAATTTTCTACTGTAAGTTTGGCCCTGTCTTCCTGTGAATGATCAGAGGAGACAGCCCAAGTCTGGAGAACTATTTACAATAGTGGTTCTTAAACATTTTAGTCTCAGTATCTCTTTACACTCTTGAAAATTATTGAGGACCTCAGAAACTTTTAGTTAAGTGGGTTATTGACATTTAATGTATTAAAAATTAAAACAGAAATTTAAAAATATTTATTACTTCATTTAAAAATACTTATGATTAACCTTTTACATGTTAACGTAAAGAACGTATTTTAATGAAATATATATTCCCAAATTAAAAAAATTTAAAAACTGAGAATAACAACAAAAATAAGATAAATTATTAAGAAAATTAAGGAGAAGAGTGCATTATTTTACATTTTTGCAAATTTTTTTCTTTTTCATTCTACTTCAGGTGAAGGCTTACAGAACAAATAGTTTCTCATGAAACAGTAGTACACATATTCTTTTATGACATTGGTTAACAACCCCACAACA